GCGGTCCCAGGTCAGACTACCCTGGGGTATGCCGGACGTGGCAGCGAACATACGGGACTGATTACCAATAACAAAATTAATATAGCGATAGGTGAGGTACGACTGAAACCATAGCAAAAGGCAGCCGTGAATACCAAGCCTGTCCAGTTTTGCGATAGATATGCGATGATTCAATTTATCGAAGGCTGCAGATAAGTCAGTATAAATGACATCCGTCTGAGCATGATCCGGCATACTGTTAGAGATGTAAGAAGTAAGGCACAGCTAGTTAGTGGCAGTGGAGCGACCAGCCATGAAACCATGTTAGTCGATACTAATATACGGCTTACAGTGAGCGAGGAACGGTTCCATAACAACGAGTTCGAACAATTTAGCAGCAGCTCTAAGCGAAGTGATTCCACGGTAGTTGCCACGGTCCTTGCTGCCTTTCTTGTGTACTGGAAACATGTGCGCTAGCTTCCAAGAGAATAAGAAAACGCCGACGTCCACGGACCGTTGTAAAACGTGCAGCAGTTGAGACAACAAACTGTCCAAATGCATTTTGATGGGATTACGTCAGGACCCGGACTGTACGACGACTTGAGTTTCGAGGAAGCGCTGGAAAACATCTCGGGATTGTTATCAATTCTGCTCATGGTTTGGCCAGAGAGTTGTACGTAACTGACAGCCAGTCGGGCAGTTGTAGTATATCCCATGTCCTTGGTTTAGTGCATGTCGTATTACTCCATCACTATTGAGAAATGATGAAGTACTCGATTTTTTACATTCTCGCATTTACCGCAAGGTTCCGACTCTAATTTAAAGGTCCCGCTATTTATATCTTTCGGAGTGTTGAAACACCCTCCAAAGGCATCCAAAATTGGATCCCTTAGCAACAAAATTAAGGAATGACACCGCATATGACCATGCATCAGAACCCTAGTCTTAACCACTTCAAACTAGAGAACAACGAATAGAAGATTAGGAATCACATAGATGAAGACTAACTAACTCATTTTGACGTAGGACTACGTCTGTGATTTCTATATGGGGGTACACTTTGTGCAAACCAAAAATGGAAAATGTAACAAAATAATGAAAGATTTTGAACGTTAATAACCCAGCTGTCCCTAGACCAATTTAAATGATTTTATCACCAATCGATCAGAAATATTCTTACGCATCTGTTAAATTTAAGACTTTAGCATTTTTCTAAATGTCACTATTAAAAATTGAACGAATGTGCAACTGTTGCTATGATTATTAAAATAATCACTGATTGCCTGCGAAAAGCGATTTCCCTAACACAAATAGTTAAGTTGAATTTCATCTAGTCTACCAAACGGTGTTTATTCAATCACCGCGTGGTGAGTGGTGGTGTTCTTCGGTACACAACGAAAGGCTCCCCGCAAGCAGCTAGCTATCAAGGCTGGTCTCAACCGCTGATCGGTTTCAGTTCTCATCACCGTGTGTGGTGGTGTCCGATCTTCGGCATCAGCAGCAGCAGCTGCCCACATAAGCACACTGAACCAATATGACATATTCCTGTTATGTGGAAATCTTATAAATTTGCGCTATAAGATAATCCATTGAAAATTATATGATTGAAAATGTGCCAGGTAAATTCTATATGAATATCTGATACATTTACAATGCTGATAATTTGGTAACTTTTATATGATCGTCGTATGATAAATGAAAATCGATCAAATTATAATAATTAACTGAAATGGATTTGAAACCCATAAGCATAAGCTACACTTTTCACCACAATATAATATATGTGTCATAAATCAATCGAAGTAAAGTTTGTGTGAAAATCACATGAAATTTACTTCTTCTTTTGACACATATATTTAATCGATTTCTAAAAATAAATCGAAAAATAAACATCAGGCAGTGGGAGCTTTCACAGTTGTGCCTTTTTTTATTGTAGCTGATTTGGGATTCGATCAAGGATTGTTGAGGTGTGATGCTTTCGGTGTCTGCGCTCGATTTCACTGGGCCACGGCTGACTTCAAGATTGAGCTCGTTCAAATAGCATGAAGTAAGAACAGCTCTCCCGACATGGAATGCAGTGCAACGTTATGCTCGTTTTGCTAGAGTGAAGACAAATAGCACTGACAAATTTATGTTCCGTTTCGGTGGTGTGGTTTGTTCAAATCTTTCTTAATGCACCTGTGTGCAATAAATCAACGACTAAATTATATAAGTTGATGTAACTGGTTCATGAAGTTCGAGTACTAGGGCTGGAATATGAATTAGCCGTGTAGAAGGCTTACAATTAGAACATAGCAAAGTAAATATTGAAGTAGAATCATTTTTTTTTTTCAATCTCAATACATTCTTTTCCGGAACCCCTTATCTTATGAAACAAAAACAAACAAAGATTATTCAATACAGTATCATTTTTGTTAGTAGTATTTAGTTCAACTAATCATTTTAATGAGTGTACGATAACATCGTTGAAAATTGTTTCAATAATTCAGTGCCAACATTTCAAAGGGGCGTAAGTGCATTTGTAAACAATGGCTTTAGCCGTCGATTTATCGCGAATAAAAGCTCACTCATGAAAAATAATCACACCAGCAGGTAGATGAATGTTTCTTCTACCAGCTAGCATTGCAATTTTGGAGAGGTAAGATTTCATTCGCGAGAAATTGACGACTAAAGTCATTGTTTACAAAAGCAATTACGCCCCTTTGAAATGTTGGCACTGAATTTATAAAGAACAATCATGTAAGATGTATTTTATTGGGAGCGATATTCAGCCCAGAAAAACATGCAAAAACAAACGTTTGCTGTTGGATTTCTTAAAAGGCAAATCTATATGACTATTATATGATTGGGATAGATCTGTTTACAATCTTTAAACCTCAAAAATCAAAGGAAGCTATTCCAATGAGATATACATGTTTTCCTATACTGCAAAGTTAAATGACAGTCCAATAGTTTCTACATGTATGTTTACACGCGACATATCAACAAACGTCAAAAATCATTAAAAGCAACTCCAATAAAATATACATGATTATCTTATAAGATATATATTTTAGTGAGCAATATTCATCATGAAAACAGGTATATTTTACTGGATTTTCTCATAGTGCAAACTTATATGATTTTCCATTAGTTTCTAGATGTCTGTTCCCACCCATGACATATCAACAGTTTTTCACCATGAAATATATCAGACAATATTCATATACTTGTTACCTATCGCTAACCACGTTCGAAGCAAAGTATTTCAAGTACTAAGTATGTGAAATTACGATAGAAATCATTCCATATCGCAGTCATAGTTTTTAAGTGATAATCCAATGGAATCTATCAATCATCACATAGAATGAATAAATCTGCTGACATTGCTATGTTATAAGATGGATCCAATAAACGGTACATGTCGATTTGTTTCAGTGCATCCATAGAAGGAGGAAAAAGCCGCACCGCTATTGATCGGAATCAGTAGCGCTTCTTGAGTCGCTGTGGGCCATCTATGCCAAGCGCGTCACCCTCATTCCAAACAACATACAGCTCACCAGCCTTATCTGTGTTTAACACCCTAATAGCTCAGCATTACTCAACCATCACGACAAAACGGTCCTTTTCAGGACCACCATAAATTTGTAAATAGTATTGCAAAATGTATTGTTTCTGAACAATTAAAATAACAATCTGTCGAACTTTAACTTCGATTTTCTCAAAATGGTTGATATGTTACATTGGTCTATTTGAAAAGTGACACGAGAATTGTCCTCATTTTCGAGCAGAATGGATAAAAAACTCGATAAAAAATGACTTTTTTTTCTCAGCCTATGCTGTTCTTTAAAGCATAACTGTCCTATATGAATAGGTAATCAAGCAAAGATGGGACAATTATGCGAGTATCGGCAGTATAAGCAGCAAGTGTTTTAGCGCATTAGGTTCTTTACCTTTTTAAAAATGTATCGGTATTCATACATCATCTGAAAGAGCTTCGTTTTCTGAGCACAACGATGTTTATTTCAAACCCATATACATTCATGTAGAGTTTTAAATCAAGATTTAAAGAAAGATTATAACTTCACTGTTTGACACTAATAGCGAATTCGTTTATTTTTTTTTTTTTTTTTTTTTTTTTTTTTTTTTATTATTATAGTCACTTTAACGCTCTTGGGTCATTCGTGACTTGTCCGGAGGTGAGATTTGAACTCGTGACTTTGGCGTGAGAGGTATGGATGCTAACCACTACGCCGGGGTCGCCCCATAAATTCGTTTATTATTCAGTTCCAACCTGGATCGGGTATCAAGATTGGGCCTGCTTGTTTTCTGACAAACGTCAGTTCGATCGTTTGTTTTTAAAACCCAGCTCAGGTTGAGGTTCACACTGACAAAAAGTTCGGTTTCGCACTGCACAGCAAAAAAAAATGTAATATCGATCAACGTAATTCAAGCTGATGTATGAAATAATGATGTAATAGCAAAAAGTAGATACAATATTACATCAATGGATGTAATTTTGTTCGCAAAATCGATGTACATCGTACAATGTGATATTACACAACCGATGGATTGACCTGGTTGCATCAGTTTCGATGTAATATTCAACAACTTTTTTTGCTGTGTGGGTTGGAACTGGTTCCAACCCCGATAATAAACGAATTCGCTATAAACTAACAAACTGACCGCTCGCTCCCATACAAATTCCCACCGAAGGGTCGCTAGGCTGGTGATTTTTGCTAATGTAATCGCATTTTTTTTAAATAGTGTACCAAAATTGATGAACTTTTGGATTTCAGTTCAATTTTTAATGCAAATTATGAATATGCATTTACCTCAATATCTTTAAAGAACCCAATTTCAGTGAAATCCGACTAAATTTTGGACGATGCCGAAGCAAATTTTCCTTGATGTGCCAAAATTCTGGCAACATTGGTCGCGTAACGCCTGACGATTTTCTCGGCTAGTTTTTACCCTCGCGTCTGCGCTGTTCGTGTCGAGCGTGAAACGATAAACGTCACTGTCAGACGTCAAAGCGCAGAAAAAAATAAAATCCAATCGAACTCGGGAGTGCGACAGTGCAAGAGGAGGAGATTACTACTGCTGCTGGCATTATACCACGTTGTTCGCTGCAATGGCCGATTTGGACGATTTTTTCGCGAAAAAAGACCGCAAAAAGTCGAAAACTACGAAGAAATTTGCCACCCCGGAAGAAGTGGCCAAGTCGTTTGAGGACGCCGCTGCGAAGAAAACAGCAGAGTCGAAAATCCGGAAGGTGACCCCGACCAATCCCGAAGGAAATGAACAAAAGAAACCCGAGCAAGCAGAAGAAGAGTGGAAAGAATTCGAGGAGGAACGCAAAGATTACAGCGGCCTAAAGTTGACCCAGTTGACCATCTCGGAACAGGAAGGCGGTAACTATGTTGGTGAAGAGGGTGGTGGTTCGATGGGAGAAAACGATGGTGAAGGAGGCGAAGCCGGCAGTGGAAATAGCAAGTCAGGAGCATGGAGAAATGTGGACTCGTCCGATTCGGCTGAAAAACAACAGCAGCAGCAGCAGCAACAACAACAACAACAACAGCAACGAGCTGCTTCCACTGTGTACGTAGCGCCAGCGATGAAAAATTTGCGCCTGAAGGGAAAGAAGGGAGTCGCACCGGATCTGAAGAACGAAGATTTTTTCCCTACCCTTGGTGCGGAACAACCGGCGGACGGAGCACGGGGTAAAAAAGATTCCACATTCGAAGAGGTGAAACACGGTGGACGCGTTCGGGCGTCGGATCTTCCGTCGGCTCAACCACTCCAGGTAGGAAACAGATTCACCTCGTTGAGCAACGATGCGAGCTAGAGTCTGGCAGCGGGAATGCCATCGCACCGGAGGAAATTGGCCGGCGACCTGTCCGGTTAGCATCCTAGGTTTTGTATTGTTTAATTCTTTTTTTTTTCTATTAATTTCTAAATTGAAACCTGCCCCGTATATGTGCTCTACCTATTTACAACAGACTGCTCACTACACAGATATAAGGGGAAACAGACTAAGAATTTCTTTTTCGGTTGTCGTTGCTCCGGGATGGATTGTTCCGCCTCAAACCGTGGTATTGAACGGCTTACGGTTTTAGTAATATTTCGAATTGGTATTTAGGCACTCCTTATCCTGTTCGGGATAATCTCTTCCGGAGCAGCGACGACCCGGGAACGCAGTGTTTTAACTATTCAATATTTGGTTAATGTAATCCCTCAATTCAAATCTGCTGTAGTCCAAAACGAAACACATACACAAACAGTTTGCTACAGCATGCTTCCCCTGGAGGAAGGTACTGGGTTTACTGAACAAAAAAAAAACTCCGTTACTTCTTTCTCTACTTTCCGCGAAAGCTGCGTTGATTTTGTAATCAATAAAGGAGGTAATAAAACTGAACAGGTTTCTGGTTACTAACTATATCACAGATCATTTCTTTACCCGGTGGAAGATTAAGTCAAGATATCCGAAAATATAGGCAACGATTCATTATCTGGTCTGCAAAATGCAAATCCACATGTTAGTACCGTAAAGTGGCATGATTTCGCGTGGCGCCTATCTCCACTCTTGGTGGTTAGGTGGTTTTCTTTATTGGTGAGACTTTCAGCCGTCTTCACTCAATTTGGCTAATGTTTTGTGATGTGTAAATTTATAATTTTTCTATGCACTAGTCAACAATACCTATCTACATCTTCAGCTCAATTTCAAATATCCACAATACACATTATATTGAGATTCTTCAAAACTGCGTGGAATTCGGGACTTAGGCGCGTGAAGTTATGGTACTTAACGGTATTATCTTAAGGTAAAAGTGACCTTCAATAATTTTTTTTTCTCTGCGGCATCGTTGGTGTTTTCCTTTTTTTTATTTCACACAAAACGAAGAGAGCTTTTTCCAATCTAAAGTGATGTTTCAGAGATAGACACACATGGGTGGTCGTATCCGGGTCCTTCCCTGGGTAGGCTCGTGTCCGTCCGGGTTCTGGTACATTAACTTATCTCTATGCATGGTAATAATACTTTACAACTCACCTTTTGATTATAATATCGATAATGCTGAAACTATATGAAGGTTAGTGATCGTTACTAGGTGTGTGCTGCGATGGAGTAGTAATTGAAGGAAGTGAGGTTCTCATGTAGCTTATTGGCTAAAATAGGTAAATCATGCAAACACACACCTTTTACAATTATTTTCCTACTTACCAGTTCCGTCCAGTATAAATTGGCTGTCTCCAACCGACGTGATCCTTTCTGACTGCTTACTCTTTCCGATGCATGTATTGTTTTCTTTTCTTGCTATTTTTCCTTCTATTGAACATCTGGCCGTGTTCCCATTTGTTCTCAGGCAGATAATATTGGTACATGAGAGGAAAAAAGAAATAGAACAATTTAAGTGTGAGCCACATGCGTTGGTTAGTCGTTTGGGTCATGATGTAGTGTTCCCTATTTTATTTGCCTCTATTCAGCTCTCAGATCGCCCCCTCCCACCAAACTATTGTGGATGAAAAAGAGAACCCATATTTGGTAACCTCTAGCGAGCTACAATGCAAAAGATATTAATAACAAACTAATCTAGAACTGGACTTAAACATATAACATTTCCTAAGACTGATGATGATTAATATAGTATGAATAATGGGAATTTTATGAAGAAAAGACGATCCCAAAAGAAAATTCCCTAGCAATAAAACTATTGCCGCTGCTTGTGCATCTGTACAACTCTATCATTGACGCTAGGATCTACAATTCAATCTGAAAAAAAGCACTAGTAGCACCGATTCCGAAAATTGCTAACCCGGGTCAACCGAAAGACTTCAGACCAATAAGTGTCCTTCCGGCAGTGTCTAAAGCGTTAGAGAAGATTCTACTCGGTCAGATCACGGAGCACCTAGACAACCCATATATGTCACTACTGGCAAAACATCAATCTGGATATAGAAAAGGTTATAGCCCCACAACCGCCCTTACTAAAGTGACACATGACATATATAGCAACCTAGACCAAAACCACTGCACCGTTATGGTCCTAGTTGATTTTTCGTTAGCTTTCAACAGCGTAGACCATCAACGGCTGAGACATAAATTGCTGGCGGAATGGAATTTAATTTCTCAGATGAAGCAGGGGAAGCAGCTTTTCTTAGCAATCGTAGTCAAGCTGTACAAATTGGAAACCAGACATCTGCTGAGCGCCTGGTACCCGATGGCACCCCGCAAGGATCCTGCCTCAGTGCACTATTATTCAGCTTATATATAAACAGCCTCCCGTCACAGTTGAAGTGTGAATACCAACTGTACACCGATGATCTTCAAATCTACATTTCCGGGCATACATATGATATCAGAAGACGGATTGCAACTATCAATCAGGATCGAGCAGCAATCGAGCATTTAGCTAAGGCTAACGTTCTCTACCCTAATCCGAAAAAGTCTCAAGCCATAGTTTTCTCGAAAGATGGCACGATTACTGCGCCTTGCTAAATTGTGTTCTGCTGAGAACCGATTGTTCTCCCAGATACTGTCGTCAACCTTCGACTCCGAATGGACAAAAAATTGAGCTGGTATGCGCAGATCAACGATGTAATATCAAAAGTGTTTGGAACGTTAAGAACATTCAGGTGATTCGCCCTGGTACTTTCTACACAAACACGCAAGAAGCTGGTGCAGTCAGTTATCATACCGTTCTTTACGTACTGCGATGTAGTCTACTATAATGGACTCTATGTAGCCTTCAAAGAACAATTAAACCGATGCTTCAAGGCCTCGGTACGCTTCGTGTACAACATCAGACATCGAGAAAGCACTGCTGCTGTACGTAATACCATTTTAGGGCACGACCTCTCAAAGAACTACCACAATCGAATATGTTGCTTCATAAGACAGGGGTATCTTGAGGCACTTCCGGATTATCTGCAACGCGGATTGCACGACCGATCTCGATGCTTCATCGTTCCTAGACACACCACATCGGCTCGAAGGAGTTTGCTAGTGTCAGGGACGCTCACCTGGAACGATTTGCCACTTGCAGCCAAACAACAACCAACTTTAGTCCTATTTAAGCGATGTCTTAACCCACCTGGTAGAGGTTAACATAGGTATAGCATTGGCGTTCAACCATAGGTTATAGCACTACATTAACTTCAATTTCAATTACATTTGTGACGATTTGTAGCTTTTTTTTTAGTTTTCCGTAAAGTGAGTTTCTTTCAAAAAATGTATTCTTCCTTGACCTGGTAAAAAGTGTCAACTAAAGGCTAACGTATCACTAAATAAATACAAATATAAATACAAATTGCTCTGTGCTAATCTGGGTTAATTCAAAATGGGAATCCACAAACAACATACTCAGAAACTATACCCGATCTCAACAAACTCTTCCGAATTCAGAACAGCTGAACTACTCGGTAAAATTTTGGCATTTCCATTTAATTGTATTAAGCTACTTTAAAGCTTTTTTCAATAATTGCAACATGTGAACAATGCAGAACAACTTTAAAATTGTTCTAGAGCCAAATTGGTTTTGAAATGAAGGTCAAACTACCACCGAACAGCTCAGCCGCTCTGAACCCTTCAAGTGTGAACATTATGCTTTCCCTAGGCGGTCCCTCCGCGTTCTGCCTCTGTTAACCCATAAACCTAAAGCTGATTCAAAGATTATAATATAGATAGTATAAAATAAAATATCCACCTGCACTGTACTGTCCATTTAGAAATCATTAGACCCTAACCCACTTACTTGGCCAGACTTCAGCATCAACCGGTGGGCAGTGCACTCTACACTCCCTAAGTTCATCTCAAATTTCATACTTTACCCATTGAGTGTTGATTAATCACAATACAAATTGTGACCAAGCGCGGGCTTGAGGTTATTAGACTATTAAATAATCTAGGTCCCTTTTAGGATTATATATAAAAAATCCAATTTTGGCCAACGTCCACCGAAAATAAATAAAATTACTTTATGACTTACAGTGCAATGGATGAGCGTTTATTTCGGGATCATTTTAGTGTTAGAGTTATGTTAGTTTTGATCCGTAATCAGCCCTGCCGACCCCTCCAACATTAGTTGTTGGCAGTGGTTGTTAGATCATGCGACACTGTTGTCGTGACCTTACCAACTCTATCTTCCACAACTGTAACTACTACTATGTTAAATGTATAAATCGTCAAGTTTATACAATTGGAGGCGAACCAGCCTAAGGCTGAAAGCCTCCTAAATAAAGCTAAATAATAATAATAATAAGTTTATACAACTCAATGTTTCAATTGAGGTAAACTAAATTTATCTTATAATTACAAAAATAAACTTTAAATCATCGTCAATCCTTTTATTCTTGGCAGGGCCTGACGGTGTGAATCTGATTTTGCACCATATGGTACATTCTCTCACTATGAACCTGTCATTTATAGCCTATCTGAACTATTTAATAAATGGAAACCATAACATGGGTTACGCTCCCCCTAAGAGGACCCTTCCTCATCCTATCTCTGTCTTATCTCAAATACCAAATGCCAATGGTTTGAATGTATCAATATATAAATTGAAAATGACGTTCAATCAAATAAACCCATACCCCACTCACTTGGCCAGGCTTCAGAATCGTCCAGTGGGCAGTGCGCTCTACACTCCAAGGTCCCTTTCTTTTAAATTCACCCCAAATTTGATATTTTACCCCTTTGAGTGTTGATTAATCACAATGAAACATTGTGACAGAACACGGACTTGAGGTTACTTGAGTATTAAATAATCTAGGTCCTATTTAGGATAATATCTGAAAAATCCAAATCTGGCCAACGCCCACCACTCACTAGGTCACTTTCTCCTTAAGCGCAAAAATATGCTCCTAATCTATCAATTACTTTAAAGAAAAACAAATTTCAACAACGGAGTGAAAAATTATTAATAAATGAGCAGTTGGTGTGCACAACTGTTATGCCAAGCATGGCGCCGAGTGGTAATTTTCAAACGAAAATTTATCGATAGTAGCGCCAAATTGGTCAAAAGTGGAACATTTATAGAGGAAATCAGGAGATGCTAGCGCCATAGAGGTAACTGTAAGACCAGAAGGTCCCGAAGAAATGAGCTCAACTTTTTGGCTAAGTTGGACGTCTGTTCTCTGTGGTTTTTCTGAGATAAATAGAACTTCTTAACAGTTTCCATAATTTTGCTAGATGTAATATTGTGTCTGCTTTTTGCTATTACATCATTATTTCATACATCAGTAGGAGGTTTTCACCGATATCATGGAAATATCAATAATTTTATTTTGGCAGAAACTAGAAGTACCAGGAAGTAGGCCTACTCCTCTGTAAGACTATTACTATACTTATGCAAAGAGTAGGTAAAGCTTAACATTTGAATCAACGCCAATGATTTTTTAAACTTAAAGTACGAGATGTGCAGCGGATGCCATCTAGGCTTTGAAGCGACAGAGACGCACTCTGTACGGTTTTGGAGGTTAAATCATCACCAACTTTGGCAACCAAACCAACAATCAATACGAAACTAACGATTTTAAATTGGCTCACTACTTGACTAGCCTATTGGTCCCAAGCAAACGATTAACGTACCCCATTCTAGTCGAAATTCTAGTTCTACGCAATGTTTGTTTTGATTCGCTATGAAAGTCTGACAGATAAAATGAGGGGTTATTGGTTTTTCCTATGTTTCGAGTGGTGAATCGATTAGCTTGGGACCGAAGAGAGTACCAGAGCTGAGCCAAAAAGTTGAGCACGTTATTTCGGGACCTTTTAGTCTTAGAGTTACCTCTATTACCAAACTGGCCTTTCCAGGGCCAACAAGCTTATTACCGAGGGGCACGCACTCCAGGGGGAACGACACATCTAAATATGAATTCTAGATGCTTAACAAATCTCACACTAGCGAATCAATCTTCGAAAGATCTTCTTTCATTTCTCGCATTTATTTGCATCGCGCATCATCTTTTTGCAGGAAATCTTCAGAATCGTCGTCAATCTTCGGCAGCTAACCAAAGCAAAACACATTTTTTCTTGCATCGTAGATAGAGTCGCCCCCTCGCACGCACTAGTCTTTCAAAACAACGCAGTCTGTTGACCAAATATTTAAAATCTTGTCATTACTGCTTTCATTACTTTAAATACTCTCTAAATTTCATTAAATACTTTAAATATTGAATAAATTTGATGCTTAAATTATTTTAAATACATTTAAATTATTTGCCATTACATAAATTATCGTTAATTATGACATAAATTATCGTTAATTATCGTTAATTATTAATGATTACTTCCAATACCCTTAAAAGCATTCAAAATAAATTTATTACTGTCCTCAAAGTATTTAAATTACTACGATCTTTTTTAAATATCACGCACTCATACCTGGTAGTGCACGATCCTCGCTTATTACAGTAAAGAGTTGGAATAGAATTTATCTGTGCCTGTTTGTCCATATTCAGAACCACACCGCCCCAACGACCACACAAAATGCTCTCCAGAGTTGTAATCTTGTAACCAAACTTGGGAGCAGGAGTGCAAGTGATTTTGATCGATTCTCTTTGAAAAAAAAATACTACAAATTTGGTACGCCTACAATTCAAAAACGGATAGAGTTAAGATAATAGATGATCGATCAATTACAAGAACTAAATGTTCTTCACATTTGTTCCATCCACTAGCGGTCCTACGTCAAGCTTCCGTTCGTGCCCCTAGGTACAGACCCTTCTACTTTTTTATATTAAAAGAACCCAAGCTGAATTCGGAATTGAATTGTATTAGGACCTAAGTAACCTTGACAGATTATCTTCGTCGACTTTCTCTTTGCATCCCCACGACCATGTAAAGAAGTTGCCAGCCGGCACCGGTGGTGTCCCAACAAACAATTCACAGTCACAAATAAGCATACACATTGAATAAATGCTGTATAACAGTGTACAATGCTGAATAAAACAAGTTGTAGAATTATGTGCTGAAAAAAGCTCATTGAGATCGATAGATGCGCCTTTATTCCGCCGTTTGCTCTGATATGATTAATTTACTTATTAAAAGCTTTATAAACGTTGACTGTCAGAACCAGAAATTTGATCTAATAACAAACTCAATAAGTGTAATTTTCACATACATTGTCGCTTTAATTCGACTGTTTTCAATTGCTTTAATAAAATGCTTTATTAGACGTCTTATAAATGTTTTCTAGCTCCATTATTAGATTTCATTGCATTGCTTTACAATATTGCTGAATAAAGGTGAATACAGTCAGCATAATAGCTCTTATACCACTATGTGTCCATGTTTTAATTGCATGCTTTACAAACGGCGTATTCATTCATTATTCCACAACAGTGCTTCAGACTAACGAAACTTGTAGCATAGTGGTTACCGTTTCCGCTTTCCAAGTAGAAGGTCGCGAGTTCAATCCCAGCCTCAACCCTTTTTTTTATTTATGTTCTACTCCTAATTAATTTAAATCGTAATCATAAATCGTATCACTCACTACAACCAATTCATAGACTTATAGAAAAGAATAACATCCTTTCCATCGAAATTAGAGAGATGGAGAGGTAACGTTGGTCTAATGTTAAACAACTATGAATGAATTAATCATTCTCACATCTCCTTGAATTAGCTAGAGTTACGGCTGGAAGTGCTGATAGGTTTTCAGATTCAAGCTTTTATTGCTTATTTAGCTGCTCTTATGATGTATTCTAGGATAGCTCAGATGGCAAGGCAAGCGGCTGGTGATCGGAAGGTCATGGTCGAACCGAATCCCATTTAACGACATGTGTGTGTATGTATGTATGTGGTGATAAATTCGGCAGAAATAATGTGACACAACAATCACTAACGAGAGAACAACCCCCTGCTCGTGCCGTTCTTATTTTCGGATTAACTATCCCGTAGTTGAATAATCGTTTAATAATAAATGTATAATGATGTAATAATTAAACATTGTTTCACATGAGAATCAAGCGTCTATAAATATACACCTTTATACCATCGCTGTTTAAAGGAAGTACAGATGTCTAATAAACGCTGAATAATCAAAAATTTGATCGAAGAGCTTCTGTTACAACTTTTGTAAGTCGAATAAAAGCTTTCTAGACATACCTTATTCAACACCAAATATTTCGATGTTGTGGTTGAATAAATTCTCCAGATTTGTGTGAACAGAGCCTGAACACAAGCTTTAATTAAAAATAATACAAGTATTATTAAGCATGAAGTAGAATAAAATCGTCAAGAAGTCGTTTCTTCAATAGGCAATTGTTTGTTGGGTATTCAACGCAGAAATTAACTGCCATTTTTAAACAGATCGATTTTCGAACGTTGCATCTTAGGATTATTGTTGAAAGTTTCACTTACTTAAACCATTTAGTAAACCAACCTGAATCTTTTTCAAATAATGCAATTATTCGATCTGATATCGAATACAAATTACATGTCCATCGACTAAACCGTAAACTTATTTTCTCCCTTCCAGTATTCAGCGAACGCTTCTAAAGCACCCCTTGCGCCAGGGCTTCCTGATGACGCCCGGCTATCCCAAGTACTACATCGGCGACAGTGTCTGCCGGTGGACGCTGTATGCCCAGCGGCATCAGAAAATTAAGTTAACCATCCTAGATTTAGCACTGCGGTGTAAGTATTAGACTTGAGGGACTTCTTTTTTTGTGTGTAAATATAGTCTAATGATTGACCCATTTTGACATTTTCCAGTTGATGAACCGTGTAGAGATTACGTTGAAATCAGGGATCTGGAAACGAATCAGACCCTGTTCAGCAGTTGCTCCGAAAGTACACGACCAATAGTGTTGGTCAGCGTACGGGAGAGGGTGGAGGTGAGTTGATAAAACTTTTATTTAACAGAACATTTTGTTTCTCACAATTTATCTCGTTTCGTCCAACCAAAGATCAACGTGCGAACGACAACACAAGTGGCCTACCCGAAACGGGGCGTGCTGATACACTATTCAGGTGAGTGTTGGGATTGAATCAAACTAAACTCAATCAAATCCATTTGACACCATCCATAAGCGGGTTCAATCATACCTAATCATTAAAAACCTGAAATGGTGGAGCGTTTGCATATAAAACCGCGCCATGCTATCCTTATACCTACTCTCTCGCTCTCGATCGAAAGATTTCACGCCGAGCGAGGTGCCGAAATATTTCCAAGTTCAAACATGCACGCGACAGTCGATAAAGCAGAGTAAACTTGTCTTTTTCGGAGCTTTCGTTTTCAGGAATGCTTGATAGAGAAGCTTTAGGGTGGTCGAATCGCAGCAAGCGTGTTGTGCTTGGGTGGGCTTTCATGCTCCTTTCCATCGATACTTTGGGAAATTGATGGGGTGTTTACGGCTGTGCTACACGGCGAATGAGAACGACCCAAATTTGAGTTTAGTTTACTCATAATCGCCAAAAGTGCATGAGCTCAGCGATGAGTAAATTTGACTCATGGTTTTCTGTGAAAAACCTAAAAAATCTGCCGGAAAATGAGGAAATTTGACGAACATTTTACTTAGTCAAGGAGTAGTACAAATGGACTGAGTGAATCCAAACTCTCATATTCGGGTATTTGATCCTGGACAAACTTGGAAAAACCAGGGGCGAGATGTGCAGTCAAATCGGCCTACTGAAAATCCATCAATGAGATGTAAATGTGTAAGGCTCATTGAGTTTGTCATCTCTTTCGTTCTCCCGCTGTTTAAACGGTTGAAGGAGTGTAACATCAAACTCCGTCATCCATTTAATCAGCTGGAGAACGAAAGAGACGATGAATTTACTGGGCTCATTGATTTTCCATATGTGAATTTAGTTCCAAATATCAACAAACCATCGTTGGTTACGGCTTTGTTGTCATTTTGGAATCAGTTGTGCGAAGTAGGTGACGATTGTTCGTATTTGACAGTTACCTTCCACCAGGGAAAACCTGGAAAAAACATGAGGCACATTTACTAATCGGTGAGTTTTTGCACTTTACGTGATTTATGAGTAAGCTAAACTCAAATATGAGTCGTTCTCATGCGCTGTGTTGTGAGCTAGCGCTAGTGTATTAGAACTGTACTAATAAGTAGTCACAGGACTGGTAGTGAGTCACTTTTTAGTGACTTGGTCACTTTTTTCAAGCCAGTCACTAAAAAGTCTCTTTTTTTAAGGTCAAGTCACTAAAGTCACCTTTTCAATAGAGCTAACACCGTCTAACTCCCGGACTAAACCTGCTTTAATTTAAGGGTAATAAAAAGCAGTTTTCTTCCATAATAACACTGCCGGACAGTGGGGGTTAGATTGTACACACACACACACAAGTCACTAAAGTCACCTTTTCTTGCTATCAGTCACTATTTTCAACTTTTTTAGCGTGAATTTATTTCAAGATTGATTATTATTTGCTTCGTGACGTTTGATCGTCTTTCTCTATCTACAGGGTGTCTACTCATTTTTATAAATAAAATTTCCTGAGTTTTCCAGGTTTTTTTTTCAGAACTTTAACGGATAAATTCAAGGCTTATAATAAGAAAGCTATTTTTAGAATGCTTTTTCTGGAAGATCAAACACAACAGTAATTTACCCAAACGTTTTTAAGACATGGCAATCAGTTTTAAAGAAACAACTGTATAACCAAATCCATTGGATGTTGAAGTTTAGCACTTATTTAATTTCTCACTTAAATAAAGTTAAAAAAAACGTACTTAATTTGAGTAAGTTCAAAATCTAAAAATATTCAATGTCTTGTAGTTTCGTATTCCATGTACAAGTTCAAGATATTGAAAATTTTCAAAGTGCCTGAATTAAGGAAAACATCAAATGATTTATTTCAATTTCGTAATTAACTTTATGAAACATTAGAGATCTTCATTGCTGTCCCATTAACTTCATAACAATTGTAGGAACTTTGAAGAAGTTCTGAAGAATGATAGGAAATGCTGAGAATTTCAGAGAAGCTCCATAAACAAACTACGGTAACATAAGGGAAGTTAACACACTAAAATTATGGGGAACTAACTGGATGCTTTAAGATCCTCAAATCGGTTCTTTTAACATCCGAAAATTTTCAGGAACTTTTATGAAGTTCCTAGAATTTCAGAGCACATCACAGGTGTTGAGCGCACTTGAGAAACATATAACCTTGAGGGGCATTGCGCAAATTTTTAAAAAGTTCAAAGCACCTCAGAAAAGCTAGATCTAGAGAATTTCAGATCTTAAGAGCAGTTCCCATGACTTTAGTGCAGACTTTTTGAAGCAGTTTAAATATCTATAACCGTAAATTAAGAAAAATTGAGAACCTTTAAGACGTTCCGAGAATTTCAGGGAAGTACAGATACCATCAAAGAAATTATGAAAACTTCAGAAATATTTCAGGAACTTCAGGGAAATTTATCTGCAATAGAATTGAGAGCTTTAGGGAAGCTTCGAGAATATCAAGACAGATCAGAGAATCAAAGGACAGTTCCAATAATTTCAAGAAAATTGTAGAGCTCTGGACACTTCCGATAGAACTTCTGGAAAGTGATAAAAATTATATTAACAACCGGAAAACGTGAGAGTATTTTAAGGGTGCTATATCATGGAGATATCAAGAACTTTAAAAAATGCGAAAATTTAGAGAATATCAACGAAGTTCCATTAATTAAAAAAATGTGAGAACTTTTAGCAAGCAGTGATAAAAATCTTCAAGAAATTCCAGAGAACTTAAAATTCAGATAGTTTCATGATATTCAGCGAATATATGGTTAGAATACCTAAGGAAAATTGTCGGAACTTCAAGGTAAATCAATTGATTTCAGTAGTTACGGGTTCTTGAAATATTCTGATCAATTCAAGGATGTCAAGAGAACTTTAAAGAAATTCAATATTCGCTTAGGTAGTTTTAATAACACCAGGATACTTCCATTAAATTCCAATTTAATGGATGTTTCATGAACTTTAGAAAAATCATGAGAAATTCAGTGAAATTCATAAAACTATATTATTTATTTTGTTCCAATTCCATGAAAATTGCGGGAGCACAAAAGTTCCAAAAATTTAGAAAATCTTCGAAAACTTCACAGAAAGACAGTGGTCTTCAGAAACATTTCGAGAATTTCATAGAAATCTATGGAGCTTAAGAGGACATCCGCGAACTTCAGGAATTTTTATGAACATTAGCAAAATGCGGAAGCATTTGAAAGAAGTTTAGTAGGCTCCGAAATTTGGAGGAATTCCAGGGAGAGGTCAGTTCCATTAGTTTCAGAAAGTTAGTGGGAAATTTAAAGCAGTTCCCAAATTTTCCGATAACTTTCGAGACGTTATAAAATTAATTGAGGTCTTTGCAAAAGTTCAGAAGTTCACAGAAGTTTAAACATTTTTAGGACGGTTCAATAACATTCAGCGCAGTACAACAAGCTTCATGAGAACTGCAAAAACGTTAGAGCAGTTTTGAGAATTTCAGAAAAGAACAGAGAACCTCAGAGCAGTTCCGTTAACATTAGATAAGTCACATAAAGTTTAAAGAAGTTTAGTTAAACCTGTAGAAGAGATTCATGATCGTTAGAAAAATTAAGGAAACTTAAGGAAGTCCCATAAAGTTTAAGAATTTGATGAGTAGTATTGTGAGCATTAGGCTAGTTTCTCAAACTAAAAAAGAACTTCAAGGCAGATTCATTAACTTCAGGAAAAATTTGGGCAGTTCTTAGAATAAATAGTCCATTCCATATTCAATGGAAATTTCTATTTCTATCCTCCGAACTCAATTTTCTTTTAGTTTTTCTCGTAATTACCTTGAAATTCTCCACAATAAGACACCCTTTGGAAGGATTATCAGAATATTCATTGAATTCATTTCAGATTTCCTTTTGAATCTCACTCCTTCCCTTGAAATTCTACGCTCATTGAAAGTCTCCTAAGAAATCATTGGCATTTCTGCTCACAAATTCCTTAGATTTCTTCTCATAAAGCTCGATTCGAAGTAAATCTGGACGCACGGTTTAATACACCACCGCGCTCCTGGTGGTTGAAACACAACACGTTTGACATTCATTTGTTTCATTGACGAAGAAATTGGTGAAAAGTTTTTCTCGATTGATCGACGCATCCCGAAATTACGGATCATGGAACTTGAGAAAAGAAAATTAATTGTGCACAAACATCCAGAGAACCCTTCGTGGTCTGCCTCAAAAATAGCAAAAGTATTAAAATTCCCAAAGTCAACGGTGAGTCTTGTAATCAAACGTTACAAGAATACTCTGAGTGTGGATAGAGCACAGCGCATCTATCATAAAAGTGGCACTAGGGAAAAAGAGCTGAGGAGAGAGGTGTTGAGGTACGTGAAAAGCAACCCAGGTGTCTCCATACGTGATTTGGCAAAGAAATACGATTCCAACTTTTCGACCGAGCGTAACATCCTTTCAAGAGAAGGACATAAGTCTTTTTGTGCCAGTAAACATCCGAATCGCTCACTGAAACAAAATTTAGTGGCCAAAAAGCGAGCACGATTGCTATACGAACGAGTTTTGACGAGATTTGATGGCTGTATTTTAATGTATGACGAAACATATGTCAAAATGGATTATAAACAAATCCCCGGACGAAAATTTTACATGGCAACTGTTCATGGGAATGTCTTTTCCAAATTTATGTTTTTGCTGATAACTTTGCTGGGAAACTAATGATTTGGCAAGGAATCTGCAGTTGTGGCCTTAAAACCAAGGTTTTCATCACATCGCATACAATGACGTCGAAGGTTTACATTAAAGAGTGTCTGAAAAGCGGATTTTACTCTTCATTCGGCAACACAAGACCAACGTTATGTTTTGGCCGGATCTAGCCAGCTGCCACTACTCTAAGGAGGTACTAGAATGGTATGCTGCAAACAATGTTAATTTCGTCGCCAAAGAGATTAATCCTCCGAATTGCCCTGAGTTCAGACCGATCGAAAAATATTGGGCAATTGTCAAGCGAAAACTTCAAGGATGCGGTAAAGAAGTGACAAATGCACA